CGAGCTACTATCATAAGCAGGTTTATGTACATTTTGAGGTAGCTATATTATATAAAGTGTCAGGCTTGACTTGTGCATGGAACTTATCTTGTGCACATGTCACTCTTGTCGCGAAGCCCATGTTTATAAATTTCGAGCTACTATCATAAGCAGGTTTATGTACATTTTGAGGTAGCTATATTATATAAAGTGTCAGGCTTGACTTGTGCATGGAACTTATCTTGTGCACATGTCACTCTTGTCGCGAAGCCCATGTTTATAAATTTTTGCTATAGTTCGAGGTGTGACAATATCAATTTTAAGAAAAGAAAAAAAAATTCCCTCTCTATGGCTCCTGAAACTAACAACAAACTTAACCCCCCCTCCCCCCAAAAAAACCAAAAAACAAAAAACCACAAAAATAAAATAAAATTTGGATTCACGTTAGAAAGAATATAACGGTCGTTTTATCCCAAAAAGTTGAAAGAATATTTTTCCTTGTTTTAAAAATGCTAGCAAGAAACACTAATTTAGTAATTTTCAAGCAAGAAATATCAAAATATGAAAGATTTAGGAAATCGCGGGTAACTAGATAGTTGGGAGGTTTCACTCTAACTTCGAAGGTCTTAGTATTTGATTCCCATATTAAAAATAATTGAAAGATTTGAGGGACAAATACCGAAATAACCTTCCCCCCAAAAATACCGAAATTAACCTTTTCAAAATTGCATCTAAAAAGACCTCTGCGGAACGATATGTAAGACGAGCGCAAAAGCAGGGTCTCTTTGAAAATTTCACTTTTCGCATCTGCGCCCACTTAAGTTTCTTTGCTGCTTCCTTAGCTTGTCTTGGAGCTCTGAGTGTGATGGAGGCTGGAGAAATTCTGCGCCAAATTTATTCTTTCAAATGCGAGGTTGACAAGGTAATCTTCATAGATACTGATTTTGGTACGATGGAGTTTTTTAAAGCCGCAATTTTGACTATTTTCTTTCCGATTGCGATGTGTGCTTTCCCAATTTGGTAACATTTAGGGTTTTGCTGAGTTTTTAACAATTTCAATTTTTAATTTTTAATTTTTAGGGTCAGATTAAGAGGACAATAGGAGAGAGGGGTTGAAACGAAATTGACATCAATGGGGGATGCACATGTGGTTATTTTCAATTTAGTTTTCCAAGTTGGAAGGCCATTGACTTGCATATGCAGTTGCTTTCCAATATTGTAGAGCCCAATGACTTGGACTCTGTAATATAATTAGTAAACAATAAGCAAGTTGCATTTTATAGACACAAAGTATATAGCACAATGCTTACATGAGCATTGCCGCAAGTCTAATGTCATGGAGGAGGATACACCATCAAATAACTAAAAGGGTTGATTGAAGTCACTCACTCTACAAGAACTATTTTACTAGAACTTCAAATTTTGATCTCCTTATCTCAACACAGAGTTATTTTCTTCATTATCTATAGTGCTACACCTGTCATGTGGATGTCGCATGATGTCAATGTCTTGCAGAGAGATTCCGTGATATTTCACACTATTGTAAAAGGGCCCCCTATTCACGTGGTAATGAAGATGTGTAGGTGTTTTAGTGGCTAACCCCTATAGTACAAGGGGCATATCTCTAATTAACCCAATAAATAAATCATAACTTCAACACATTGTTGTTGTCTACTAAAATTTGATTGATAAAGATAAGTTGATTGCAACATGTGATGGCAATTAATTATTATGAAATGTGGCGTAAAATATTAGTTTCTTACTTTCTTTAGATACCGAGATATTCTTTACAAAATCCTGTTCCACAAAAGAACAGTAAGGGTGCTGTCCGGTGACTTCCTGTTTGAGATCTTGTATACATCATTGCAAATTCCAAATGATTCTTGAGACAAAACCAACTACAAAACTAAAATAAACGAATAAATCAACTAAAGAAATTTATTTGACATGGAAGCAAAAACTAATCTACCACTTTTGACTCTATAAACATATTTCAGAAATCAATGAGATGAGATGGTGAAATTGAGAAATTTGATAAGCCATATTTTCAAACTCCGTTTTCTGCGACTACTATCATCTTTCTTTTGATCCTGAGGCTCTTTCTTGTACATCAAAAAGTTTCTACTATCAGTAGATCCAATAGTTTGTGATGGTTTTAGGGCTTCATCAAAGGTAGCACAATAAAGATAGAATTGACCAGATTCATGACCAAACACTGGGAATCGACCTTCACGAGCATATACTTTGAGCACACTGCGAATGACAGCTTCAACTGATTCCTCCTCATTAACAAATAACCTTATATGCCCTGAACTTCCTTTGACTCTAACACTAATGAGTATCCTGTTGCTGCTGCATTTAGTGGTGGCACTCCTTGTATGCTTGTTTTGCTTCTTGTTAACCTTGTTCGGATGTTGTCGCTTGGACAAAGGAGCTGAAGGGAGAGACATCTTGAAATGAAAAACTGAGAAGAGTTGTTGGGAGCTTAACTGATTTGCTATGAACTGATAATACTACACTGTGACAGGATATATATAGAAGTGAGATGTGATAAGCTAATTCGAGTCTAGTTAGGCTGCTGCAGTCCTTATCACAAAAGGACAAGGAAATGGCGGCTTATGGTCTTCTATTTCTGCTGTTAATATAAAATGCATTGTGGATGCATTTTTCCTGGCTTTTGTTTATAATAGGCATGTGATGTTTGAAATGTTTCAGTTTGTAAATGCTTTGGGTTTACAGCACATGCCACTTTTTTTTCTTTTGTTGTTGTTGTTGTTGTCCCAATGAGCCATAAAATACTATAGAAAATTATGATAAAATGAGGGGTTTTCTGAAAGCAGTCCTGGTTAATCTTGTTTCTTACTCTCTCTTGTTTATCTGTTCGTGAAAAAGGAGCAGACAAGAGAAACTCTTTCACTAGATTTTTTTCATTTAAGGGCAGGATGTAACACCACAAATGTTAGATGCGGACATCGGGAATATATGAAGAATTTGAGTGGTTTAAATAGGAAAGCCCAAGACTCAAGTGTAGCATCATCTAGTCGATTTTAGCAATGGTTTGAACCAAATAGCGCGCTACACTCAGTGGGTCCCACGGCTTACATCATACAAACGGGCTTGCAGGCCCGGGGCGTGACTAATGGTATCAGAGAAGTTAGCAAGCCGAAACTGTGGAGCTAAGTGCTATACAGGCCTAAGTGCTACATTGCGTGACTCCGCACAACGTGGTGGTGATGCTGGGATGGGCCAATTGTCATGCTGCGACAAGGACGTCACATTTGTAAGGTAGGGTGATTGTAACACCCCAAGTGTTAGTCCTACACCCAGAATCTATGATGAGTTTGAGCGGTTTAAATAGATAACCCCAAGACTCAAGTATAGCATCGGCTAGTCGATTTTGATAGTAGTTTGAACGAAATAACACGCCACACTCAGGGCCTGTTTGTTTGCAGTGAAGTAATTGTGAAATAGCAGAAGTAGAGAAAGTAGAGGCTACTTCTGCTACTTGTAGGAAAAAATATATGTTTGTTTCTCTTGAAAATCTACTTCCGCTACTTCTTTAAATGATGATGTGGCGTCTATGTGGCATCTCCATTTCCTTAATATTTTCACGTCTTCGAATGCACTGAAATACGGTGGAAGTTAATGTAGGGTGGGGTCCACCAGGAAAAAACGATTCTCAAAACTATAATTAGGTAGTGATCAGATTTCCTTCTTATCTATATCCTCACAACCAACTGACTCTTTCTTCGTGGTGATCTGTGCCAAAATTAGGTGTTTTTGGGTGATAGAGGGGTTGCTCGGTTTGATAATATGGAGTGCATTCTCTTGGTACTCTTGATTATTTAAAAAAATGTTGGTGATCTTTATGTCTGGTTATTTCACAAAAATTTTGCTCGTCATATGTAGTTATAGTTGGAATTATAGGTATTTAACATTGGATGATTACGTATGATCAAATGCTTGGTTTTTTTATGTTGGTGACCTGTTATGAATCTTTCCACTCAATTTTACTCAAGTAGACTCATTATCTACGCCGAAATCATGAATTGTCAAATTTTGTAAGCTCTCATTCATAAATTATGAATACATTCCCCGTTTTTGGCTAATTGTTCTATTTCTAATTGTTTAATCTAAAACCTTTTCTCTTTTTTAAGTTTATTTTCTATGCAAATTCTCTCATGATTCCCTATAATCATTAATGTCATCTGGTACAAATATATGAGCTGCCTCCGAGACATATTCTTATTCTATCATCTGGTACAAATATATGAGCTGCCTCCGAGACATATTCTTATTCTATGACATGCAATTGTTAGTCCACTTGATATTAAAAAAAAGTTAGCTGCCTCCGAGACATATTCTTATTCTATGACATGCAATTGTTAGTCCACTTGATATTAAAAAAAAGTTAGCTCTTTTTTCCTTCTTTTCGTCTACAAATTATTTATATATGCTCCGTATATATAGTTATCACTTAGCCTCTTTCAACACTTTTAATTGTAAATTGTAACATGTCAACAAAATAAGAGCAGAAACATAGTCTTATAATTACTTCATAGTAATATTTTTAAATATTATCCAAACAAAAAAAGTAAATGAAGAGGAAGAAATTCTACTTCCATTACTTCTAAAAAAATATGAAACAAAAAAAAAGTTATTTCTGGTACTTCCTATTTCATAGTTTTGAAAGTTACTTCTGTAACCTACTTTTTACTTCCAATACTTCCATTATCCAAACGGGTCCTTAGTGGGTCCCATGGTTTACATCGCGCCAACGGGCTCGCGGGCCTAGGATGTGACACATGATGGACAAGATATGATAAAAGGATACTGTTGTGTTTTTTAAATTTGGATTTCATCCCAAAATGTCTGTTCATGAGAAATTTAAATTAGTTTCTTATCAATAGTGTTATTAGCTTGTTATGCATGTTTAGGACAAGTATATGAGCATATAGCGAAAGGGAGGATGTGAAGGAGAATCATAAAGCATCAAGCAGTTGTTGCCTAAATATTATAAGATGCATATGTAGTGTTTGATGAAACTTTTTTTTAACAACTCAGAGGGTGCGTTTGTTTACCATTGCGTTTGTGTTGTTTTCATTGCGTTTTTTAAAAAAAAAGAAACAAAACGCGTTGGTTACCATTCCGTTTTTCCGTCCAAAACACTACCAACCCCCAACTTTAAACGATTTTCTCAAAACAAGAAAAAGGTGTTTAAGGTCTGCTGTTTTCGTTTTTATTTAATATTAATATATAATATTAATATATATTAATATATATATATAATATTTAATATATTAATATATATTAATAATATATATAATATATTAATATATTTAATATATTAATATATTTATATATTAATATATTTAATATATTAATATTTTAATATATTAATAAAATACTAATTAATATATTAATATTATTTAATATTAATATATTAATATTAATTAATATTAATATTAATATATTAATATTAATATATTAATATTAATATTAATATATTAATATTAATATATTAATATTAATATTAATATATTAATATTAATATATTAATATTAATATTAATATATTAATATTAATATATTAATATTAATATTAATATATTAATATATTAATATTAATATATTAATATTAATTAAATATATTAATATTAATATTAATTAATATTAATATTAATATTAATTAATATTAATGTAAATATATTAATATATTAATATTAATATATTAATATTAATTAAATATATTAATTAATATATTAATTAATATTAATATATTAATATTAATATATTAATATTAATTAATATATGATTAATTTTCCTTTTTTGCTGAATATATGATTGTTTTAGAAAAACCATCTGATCCATCCGATCCAATGTGTTTTTCAAACGATTGCAAACACTTTTGGGAGAAAAACCAAACACCAATGTGTTTTTCTAGAAAAAGTCATTTATATAAATTCAAAAAGGCTGATAATTGATGAATCTGAGAAAAAACTAGATGGCAAATAGTCAATCCTAGGAAAAATAATTTTTTTCGATATGATATGTAATAAGAATGGCTATGTCAAGCAGAAGTTTCAGAATGTGTAAAAGAATGGAATAAAAGTTGCTTTAATGCAGTATTGATGGAAAGTCTACAAACATGAGAGGTGCAGATATAATGGAATAAGGAAATTTTTTTAAAACTAGGTTAGGTTCTGTTCAACCAAAATGTCCAAACCATATTGTTGAATTAATTTTCTTAAGCCAAGCGATTATTTCAGCACATATTTGGATGTTAGGTTGCAGAGTTCCTGTAGTTGGTCTTCTGTTTCATATGTTGTTCAGTAACTTACGAAAGGAAAGAATTTAGACATAAATAATTAAATGCATCTTCTCCTTTGTTCAGTTAAATTGTGAAAGTCGTAGGAATACAATGCTATGACATTTTACTGGTTTAAGGTTAAATCATCATTTTGTCTGTTACAAATGGGATCTCCACAATGTTACCTAGGTACTTCTATCAGGAGCCGAACCCAGAACCAACCTGGTCCTGTACCGAGACTTCTTGGACACTTTTTGAATATTTGCATATGTTTATTCAGGTGTATACTCAAGCATATAATGCATGTTTTATTTTAAAGCACTCCTCATGCACTTCTTCGGCGTATACCCTATGCTTCCCATTTTCTTATATATTGATCTCATTTTAATGAAAAATCAATATTGATCTTATATAAATTATTAATTTTAATACATAGGAATATACATAACATACATACATATAGCCCTACATCTTACAAATTTTCAGTGTCCCATACCCGTACTCATACGGCCTGCAACTTAGGACCTCCATTTCTTTACTGCAAAGAATAGGTTTTAGGTTTTATGTGTTCCTTAGCAAAGGTTTGATTCTTCAAATAAAATTGGATTCCTCTACCAACTGAGAGGTTCTCCGTTGGTCAAGGGAAGAAGCTTGGGGATTGATGAGGGGAGGGTGGTCCAAGATTCAGGTACAAACATAAAGAACAAAGTAACTTGTGGAGATTAGTAACAATGCCATCCAAATACTTAACCAACTTCACAGACTCATAGTATTAGTTGTGTAATGAGCTGATTTGAATTCTTTTTGAATTGAAAGCCTTCCCAATTTACTAACAGGCAATGGCAGAGATTACCTTTCTTTATGATGAACATGCATTACCAGAAAGATGTACATTGAGGGAATTAAGAGACTGTATAAGACCTTAGTGCAGAAATCAAGTTCATATAAGTGAAACAATTGATGCTTCTATTTGCATGTATAGTTTGATCTTTATTGCATGACTTCTTTTATTCTGCATTTTGCTCTACCTTGTCTGATGATGAAAGTGCTCTCAAAAACTCAATTGCTTCACTAACGATGCTAGGTCAATGAGGAAATTGGGCTAACTATTCGGAATACAAGACAGATAGAATGTGAGATTATAAAATGCTCCGAAATTGAAAGGAGTTGCTTCATGAAAGAGTCTGAATTGGCAAAGATGGTGTCAATTGCAGAATTTGAGCTGAATGATTTGATCCCACTGGCTGGTATGGTTCCCATTTCTTGTTTTATTGCATTTCCTTTACATAATGTTGGTTCATTGTTTAGGTCATCACTGGGGATATTCTTAAAATAAAGTTTGTTAGACTTTCATGGAAGACCATCCTATGGATGCTCCTCATTGTTAATAGTGATTTAGACATCTAAATTAGAATAACTATGAGAGACTAACTGATGTAAAAAATTGTGAACAGGCATCAGATGTATCATATTCATTAGATAAGCAAAGTCTCTTCTGCAACCACATGTGCATGTCTTGAGTTTGTGAGACCATACATCTTTTCATACTTAGGTTGTTTTTGAACCACTCATAGGATCACCATGGGGTTCTCGTAGTGTGTTACCGCCATGGATTCCTGAGGAAGCTTATTTTGAGAACCGAGATCAATTTATCTTTATAAAAAATTATACTTCCATTGTGTTGTTGACTGGGATAAATGGCTTACAACAGCTAAATCCTACAATAACATGAACTGTAAATAATCTGGTGCTTACAATTTTTGACTGATGCTTGGCGTCCTTCCTTCCTCTTCACCGTCCTTCATTTAATACTTTTCGAGGGTGGTTTTTTTTTTGTACGCAATGATTTTGATCATTTATCGAATTTTCTTCTGTTATACACTTGGGGTTTTTGATTTCATCACACCTTATTGTTGCGTTAATGACTATTAGGAATGATATATTAAGAAAGTTAAGTTTGTTCTGAATTAAGGCTTTCGTTATAGGTATATTTATCTTTTATGCTTTACAAAATAAGTAACTTTTCTTACATGTCCTTTATAATGCTTTGACATAGTGCTAAATGAGATATGAATAACCTAAAACAAACACATTAAAGAAATTCTCTAAGCCTGCAATCTCCTTAACATACATATAGCAGGACCTGAGTTCCATATTGTTTTGCAGCTTCCAGAAAGACCTCTGCTGAACAGATAGACAAAGAGCTAGAAATGCTTAAAAAGAACATGGATGAGACCAAACAAAGAATCTCAGCCAAGAGGTATCCTCAAGTTTCATCATTCATTTTTTATGGAAATTTTTCATGATTCCTTACCCATCCTTTTCCATTCTTAACTAAGTTGAACAACTTTTTTTAGTTATTTGCATTTCTTGCTGTGATGTTATAAGATATGAGAACTAGGAAAGTTTCACCACAGAGATAGATATCATAATGGTGCTTCTAAACATGTAAATGTACTTTGTAGCTTGGTTGGGGAATTGAATACTATTTACTTTTGTCTTGCTTGTTGAGTGCCCATGTAATTCAAATTCAGAAATTACACAGTATACAGCGAAGCAGGTGCTGATAATCATCACAGAGGACATTAAGTTTAGTTTTAAAGAATACCACAACAAGATAAACTAGCTTTAAGCATGTATACCCATGTAAGTAGCGAGATTTAAGTGTGAGGTTGATAGTCTGTTGTATATACACTCATTCATATTGAGCATCGCTCTTCTCAGGCTATGTGCTATACTTGGATCTGCATTAGGTGCGTTTGTTGTTTATTCGAATATGCATGTAGTTATTGGTAAATATTTTACCTAGATTTCTTTCTATTTCTTCCAAACGTTTGTTTGATTAAACTTTATACAAATCAACTTGGCTGTGATGCTTACAACCAAGTTCAGATATTCTCCATTAGAAATGAGTGTTTGGACTTCCCCTTTCCCCCTCCTATATTTTCGTGTTTAGGATAACTATAAAGAAAAGTTAGGCATTTTTTTTAAAGAAATGTTGTGAAGATAATATTGTAATGCTCTAATGAGACAACCACTATACATAAAAATTAAAGAAATGTTGTGAAGATAATATTGTAATGCTCTAATGAGACAACCACTATACATAAAAATGTTGTGAAGATAATATTGTAATGCTCTAACGAGACGATGCTCTAATGAGACAACCACTATACATAAAAATGTTGTGAAGATAATATTGTAATGCTCTAACGAGACAACCACTATACATATTTGTTTCTTTACCAAAGTGCCAGGTTCTACTATGTCCTTTGTTGTTAAACATATTTTTATATTTATGTTAACACTCATTTATTTTTCCTTCCTATAAAATGTCATTTCACGAGAAGCTTGTCAGGTGGTCCAAAGACCAAACAAAGGCGCAGTAGTAGTATGATAATGATTTTTGGTCATCAACTCATCAGGTTAAGGTTTCTGGTTAAGCGATCCAGTGACAGTATGATGTAGGAAATAACAAAGAGGACATGTTACAAAATAAACAGTTTGGTATGTTAATCGAAGTTGTTTTCTTAGTGCATATTTCTTCTGGTTTTTACTTATGTCAATTCAGTTATCTTTCGTGTTGTTTTGAATTACGATCCTAACAGGGTAATGAAACAATATACAAAGTTCTTACTGAATATGCTATTGTTTGGTTGTATGATTTTCATGGGGAAATGTGGAAGGAATAGAGGCAGCTGTGATGGTAGAGACTGCTCTCTAGATGTGCAGAGTTGATTAGATAATCTAATAGATACTTCTGTTATCAGGAACTTTTTGGGCTATTGCATGGACTATACATTCTTAATTGGTTCCTGATTTAATAGTCTGGAGAAAATACATGTGCGGTACTTTTTAATCTGCTAATATTATCCCACTCAGGAAAAATGGTGAAATCCATCTGCACAATAATAAATGTGCTTCTGAATATGAATTCGTTTATAAAGTCGCTTCCAAATAAAATACCTAATTTGTAATAATGTTTTGTGATGCCGCTTAAAAGGAAACATTTTCCATTGCATTGAAAAGAAAGATAAGAAATATCGTCGCATTACACGTCTAGAATTGAAAAAAAATCAGTGTCACTATGTTTTCTTTTGATGTTTCTATTATTCTATTCTGTTTTTCTAATACTGCAGACAGGTTCTAAAATTTTTAAAGTTATAATTGTTTATCTTTCTCCAACATTGGTGGATTTTATTATTGAGACATGCTTGGACATAACAATGGGATCATTTATGCAGGGAGAAATTCGTTGAACTATGTGATAGTTTCCAGAATGATATTGGGAAAGGGAATAATGATGAGTTAACTATAATATTGTCGGAGAAAAAGGCACTTGAGTCTGAAAAGCATGATCTGAATATGAAAATCCATGCCCTACAAACTTCAACAAGAGAATACCTTGAGGAGATTCTTGAAGAAATTCAAAATTCAAGTTCTGGTAAAACTATCTCTATTACTCTCTTTGTTTATTTCTGAGACCCTATGATTCCATCATTCGAGCTTCACATTTTGTAGTTTAGGATCTGATGTGCTATAGTTCAGTTAAATATCAATCACGTGCTGGGTTACGTGAGTTCTTTTATGATGAAGCCGTATCCATACCCGACACATACCTTGGACGTCCCTGTATCTAAACTTCATGGACACTCATTGGATCTAGGCATACATTCAGACATGTACTCAATTATATTATATATGTTTTGATTTAAAATACTTGTCATATGCTTCTTGGACGTATATCCTACACTTCATGTACATTTATGGAAACTCATTAGACATGGCTCGGGTTTGTTTTAGCCCCTATCAAATTAAAAACTATGATTTAAAATGGTGGTTTTAGTGTCTAATTAAAAAATAGGCACTTTTCACTTTACAATATAATAATAATCAACATAATGAAAGAAACTTAAAAATATGATAGGAATTTATATCCAAATAGCACATGTTCTTATGTAAATTAGTAATTTCAATATATATATGTAGCCATGTCCTCCTACCCTACGTTTTACAAATTTGCCGTGTCCCATGCCCGTACTTGTTGGGAAATTACCCTGATTCCCCTATTGCCAGATTTGAGAGAAAGCGAAAAATAAATTGCGCAAAATTGGGGGACACGCAAGATTTACGTGGTTCGGCACAAAATTGCCTACGTCCACGGGCTGGTGCAGATCTTTCACTATTTGGGAGAAATTTTACAACACTCAATTTTTCTCACAACTCAATCCCACTCTGAAAATTGCTCACAATTTTCTCTCACAAAGACTTTTCTCTAAGCCTCTCTTTTCTCTCTCTTGTTCTTCTATAAGAGGAGTTGTTTCTGGGGATGAGTTTTCCTTAAGAGATTGGGGACCTATTTATAGTGTTTGGAAAGACACTATGCACTAATATTTTAATACTGGTGGGGCCCGCCGGTGGGGCCCACGTACAATTTTTTCTTCTCCCCTGTCATTCACCGAATTCGGTGATTTGAGGATTGTCTGCATTTTTGTCAACTTTGGTGGCTTGAAGCTTTTCGGTGGCTCACCATTTTTGACTAAAGCTTTCTTCTTTTTCAACAAAAGAAGCACCGCCACCATTTTTTTCTTCCTGCCATTTGACTATGGCATACTCCTTTCTCTTTCAAGAAAAAAAACGTGGCTACTGAAAGTCCTCCCTTTTTAATCATCAAAAGTCCTCCTTCCCTTTTTGACTAACAATCTCCCACTTGAAGACTGGTTTTAATCTGTCTTCACACCTCGATCTATGCAGCAGCTCTTCCCGGTCTTTATACTATTGCAGGCCAACTGAAGCTGAACACAGCTTCAGTTTGTCAATAGTCACCGTCTTTGTCAGCATGTCTGCCGGATTTTGAGCTCCACTGATCTTTTCAAGCTTCAAAATTCCATCTTCCAGAAGTGACCGGATAAAATGATACCGCATCTGTATGTGCTTTGTTCTGGAATGAAAAGATGGATTCTTCGCTAGATGAATAGCACTTTGACTGTCGCAGTATAAGACATTGTCTTCTTGTTTCTTGCCTAATTCATCCAAGAAATTTTGAAGCCACACCATTTCCTTGCTGGCTTCTGTAACAGCGACATATTCTGCTTCAGTTGTGGAGAGAGCAACTATCTTCTGCAGTTGAGAAGCCCAACTCACTGCAGTACCTCCTAGAGTATATACATACCCTGTAGTGCTCTTTCTGATATCAACATTTCCTGCTAGATCAGCATCTACATAGCCTGTTAGTATTGTATCTCCACCTTTGAAACAAAGTGCTTTACCTGTAGTGCCTCGTAGATATCTGAGGATCCACTTGACTGCTTCCCAGTGTACCTTGCCTGGATCATTCATGTACCTGCTAACAGCTCCCACTGCTTGAGCAATATCTGGTCTTGTACAGACCATGGCATACATTAGACTTCCAATTGCTGAGGCGTACGGGACATTCGCCATGTGTGCACGCTCTTCATCTGTCTTCGATGACTGTTCTTTAGAAAGTCTGAAATGAACACCTAAAGGTGTACCCACTGGTTTTGCATCTTGCATGTTGAACCTGGAGAGTACTTTGTTGATGTACTCAGCCTGTGATAACATCAAGATTCTAGACTTCGTGTCTCTCTTGATCCTCATTCCAAGAATCTGCTTTGCAGCACCAAGATCTTTCATCGCGAACTGTTTTGACAATTTCTGCTTCAAATTTATAATCTCTTGCAGATCTGATCCTGCAACGAGCATGTCATCAACGTATAACAATAAAATAATGAAGCTATTGTCAAACCTCTTGATATAGCAACAATGATCTGCTTGGCATCTAGTGAAACCGTTGCTGCCCATGAAGTTGTCAAACTTCTTGTACCACTGTCTGGGAGCTTGTTTCAATCCATACAAGCTCTTCTTCAAACGGCATACTAGATTTTCCTTGCCTGCCTTCATGAAGCCTTCTGGTTGCTTCATATAGATCTCCTCTTCCAAATCACCATGAAGGAAAGCTGTTTTTACATCTAACTGCTCAAGATGTAAATTCTCAGCAGCTACAATTTTCAACACTAATCTGATTGTAGTTAGTTTCACAACCGGAGAAAAAATTTCATTGTAGTCGATACCTTCCTTTTGCTGAAAGCCTTTGACAACCAACCTTGCCTTGTAGCGTTTGTTCCCATCATGTTCTTCTTTGATCCTGTAAATCCATTTGTTATGAAGAGCTTTCTTACCTTGTGGTAATTCAGCTAAGTCCCATGTCTGATTTGACATGAGCGAGTCCATCTCATCTTGCATAGCAGACTCCCACTTGACTGAATCCTTCACCTGTATTGCTTCGTCATAACACTCTGGTTCACCACTGTCAGTCAGCAACAGGTAGTGCAAAGAAGGCGAATAACGCTGGGTTGGCTTAGGAATTCTGGAGGAGCGTCTCACTTCTGGCGTGCTTGGTTCTTCTTGAACTGCTTCAGGGCTTGTTTGAACATCACGTGCTTGGTTCTTCTTGAACTGCTTCAGGGCTTGTTTGAACATCATTTTCAGAAATCTCCTCAAATTCAGCAAATTCCTTTGTTTCAGCTTTTGTACTGGAGCTACTTGATTCTGCAGTTGATCTGTCTTTGTACATCACATTCTCATTGAATATGACATCTCTGCTTCTGATGATCTTACGATTTTCATAATCCCAAAATCGGTAACCAAACTCATCACCACCATAACCAACAAAAACATATTTGTTAGATTTGGCATCAAGTTTACTTCTTTCAGCAGAATCTATGTGTACATAAGAGATACAACCAAAAATTCTTAAATGTGAAAGGTTTACCTCTTTTCTGCTCCAAGCTTCTTCCGGTATTCCACCATCCAAGGGAACTGAGGGTCCGCGGTTGATTAGATAGGCTGCGCAGTCCGGCATGTATCCTCATGCTTCTGGCACGTTCATTCAAAGTTCTGTTCATGCGCTCTGCTACGCCATTCTGCTGTGGTGTCATGGGAACTGTTTTCTCCATCTTGATCCCGCTGTTTGCGCAAAACTCTTTGAATCTACTGTCTTTGTACTCTCCTCCTTTGTCTGACCTCAACTTCTTTATCTTCAAACCAGTTTCATTTTCCACCATGGCCTTCCATTTCCTGAAGGTATCAAAGACTTCTGATTTCTTCTTTAGAAAATAAACCCACACCTTCCTTGTAGAATCATCAATGAAGGTGACATAGTACAGTGAGCCTGCAAGAGATGAGACTGGAGATATTCTCTAAGTTAGAGGTTATATAGAGAGTACCACTTTTCTTACCTCGAGCAATGACGAGTGCTCCTTTGGTAATCTTCCATTCATGACCCGAGAAGGTTGTACAATAACCCTCTCCATCAAGCTGTCCCACAGAGATCAAATTTCTTCTAAGACCAGGAATATGTCTCACTCCTTGCAGCTTCCATGTGGTCTGATTTGGCAATTTTAATCGAATGTCTCCCTTGCCAACAATCTTCAAGGTTTCATCATCTGCTAGATGTACCTTTCCGAAATCACCGCTGACGTAGTTCTCCATGATTTCTCGGCATGGGGTGGAATGAAAAGATGCCCCTGAATCAAGAATCCATGATTCAATCGGACTGTTGACGCTTAGAATCATAGCATCACCTCCTTCCTCGGTCACGTTGGCAGACTCCTGTGCGCCGGTGTTTTTCTTCGGTGCCCGACACTCCCTCTTGAAATGACCCTTCTTGCCACAATTGTAGCACTTGAAGTCTTTCTTTCCTGATCTAGATTTGCTCCTTCTAGATTTTGATCTGCCGTGATTTGAACTTCTTTCTGAAGTTCTTCCCCTAGACTCCGTGTGTAAAGCTGAGGAGGTTGAAGCTTCACCCGATTCTCTCCGTCGGATCTCTTCACTAAGAACCAGATCACGAACATCATCGAACTTCAACTTGTTGCTTCCCGATGAGCTACTCACAGCCGTGACTGTAGCGTTCCAGCTTTCTGGTAGAGAAGAAAGAAGTATCAATGCTCGTACTTCTTCATCAAATTCAATCCCAACTGAACTCAACTGGGTTGTGACTATGTTGAGTTCATTGAGATGTTGAGCTGTCGATGCGCCTTCCGTCATTCGCAAATTGAACAGCCGCCTCATCAAGTGGACTTTGTTTGAGGCAGAGGGCTTCTCGTACATGCTGCAGAGAGCCGCCATAAGACCCGCCGTGGTCTTTTCCTTTGCTATGTTGAAGGCAACGTTGCGGGATAGCGTCAATCGGATAACTCCAAGGGCTTGTCTGTCGAGGAGAGCCCACTCTTCATCCTTCATATCATCTGGCTTCTTTCCCGAGAGAGGTTGATACAGCTTCTTCTGGTACAGATAATCTTCGATCTGCATCTTCCAAAAGCCGAAGCCCGCACCATCGAACTTCTCAATTTTCACCTTCCCTTCATCTGCAGCCATAGCTCCCACTCGAATCTGACTTCCTCTGGATCGTTTCTGATAATTTCTGCGAACCACCTTGTATTAGGATACCTCTGCCGACAAGTCAGTACCGCCGGCAAAATTCCACTATTCACGAAATGTACTATTCACGTGAATAGTAACCTTGCAGAAATTTGACAGACGTCACAACCAGAGCTCTGATACCAGTTGTTGGGAAATTACCCTGATTCCCCTATTGCCAGATTTGAGAGAAAGCGAAAAATAAATTGCGCAAAATTGGGGGACACGCAAGATTTACGTGGTTCGGCACAAAATTGCCTACGTCCACGGGCTGCTGCAGATCTTTCACTATTTGGGAGAAATTTTACAACACTCAATTTTTCTCACAACTCAATCCCACTCTGAAAATTGCTCACAATTTTCTCTCACAAAGACTTTTCTCTAAGCCTCTCTTTTCTCTCTCTTGTTCTTCTATAAGAGGAGTTGTTTCTGGGGATGAGTTTTCCTTAAGAGATTGGGGACCTATTTATAGTGTTTGGAAAGACACTATGCACTAATATTTTAATACTGGTGGGGCCCGCCGGTGGGGCCCACGTACAATTTTTTCTTCTCCCCTGTCATTCACCGAATTCGGTGATTTGAGGATTGTCTGCATTTTTGTCAACTTTGGTGGCTTGAAGCTTTTCGGTGGCTCACCATTTTTGACTAACAGTACTGGTACCCGTACCCGTTTCCATGCAACTTAGATCACATGTCAATTTCACGCTAGTCAACTTATAGTATCTTCTTGTTTATGGTTTAATTGTTTACAGTAATTAATGTTATATGTCAATCATTTTCTCATAATTATTTAGTTGGGGAAGTACCAAAATAACTAATGAACATAGGTATTTTAGTTTCAATATAAGTTTGATTATGGGTTTTGTCTTTCTAGTTCTAAGTATTTTTCTTGCAATACTGCAACTGCAATTAGTGGCTCCATCTCTATGTTTTGAGAAACTCCTAAAAGCTGTTACTCTCCATAGGTTTAGAGGCTGAGATACAACGTCGAATGTCAGAAAAGGCGGAGCTTCTCAAGGATATCGGTGACTTGAAGAATCTATTGTGTTCAATAAGTCTATCAGAAGATTCCTCCATGTAAGTCTTTTTATGTAACTAGGTTTCTTATAATTAACACACAGAATTGATTCTTTTATGCAGTAACTGCAGCTTATGCAATCCCTATTTGAGATTTTATCTTTTCCCTTGATCTAGCGGCACTAAGCTTTTCAAGATATTCAGCTTTTCAAGATATTCATGCACCCTACAAAGACCCGTCAAGTTTATTAACTGAGGAATCATCCATTAAAGTAGAAATAGTTCATAGATGATGACATAGCTCAAAATCTCAATAATATGTTATCATGTTCAACATGATATCTTAGGAAAGTTTATTTATCAATACGTTCTATCCACAAGATACAGACTGCATAGATGAATCTTAACTTGTCCTGTAGCTAATAATTTTTAACTTGCTCGTAGAACAGTGGACAAGCTCGCTTTGTGTCCATTCATGTCTTTAAGTAGGTGAACACATATACAATTACCAAATCCCTCACTGGAAAAGCCTGACTTGCATCTAATCTGATTGCCTCCTTAACCCATAACTAGAAGTTAACATGACAGCAGAGAAGTCTTATACCAAATTAAGGCAGTCAGCTGCTTGAATCGCTTTTCTACATTGAGCTCCGCTAAGTGCCATTTGCTCTTATTAAGTAACAGCACACAGTCAGATTATTTCTAGCCAGTGCACTTATCGGTTGCCATTGCACATTTACGGAACATCTCGATCACTCTGTTTACATTGATAAATGCAATGTCTCATCATGTATAGAGGGTCTATGAACTCCATGAACTTGGATGCCATGGAATGCTCACCCTAATATTTACTGTATGTAGTTCAATGTAGAAACTACTCATCTAGTTCCACTTGCTTTGGAAGTCATAAATATTTACAGATCTACCATTGTGTGTGTTAAATTCTCATTCACTACTCACTGTCCTGATGTATTGATTACACTGTTTTTTACAACAATAGTTATTAGTTTAGTTTGACATTTTGAAGTATTCTAGCATATTCATAATCTTTTGTTGCTTCATTGGTAAATCATGTCAGATTAAATTTTTTTTCTCCACAAAAATTTAATTGTAGTATATCACATGTAATGAGATGGATTTTCAATTTACAGAATAAGGATTAAATTACCATGCTTATAGTCATGGGAGGACTCTCAAATGTTTGGAAAGGCCTCATATTGTCCTTTTTAAAGTAATTAGATAGATAAATATTAAATTGGTACATGTCATTAATAATGTATAATTAAAAATCTCATACATAGCGGCTTTTGTGTTCAGTCAAGCCTTCAGATATGTTAACATCTGCCATTTCCATCGAACAGCCTATTCCATTTCCATCGAATTTTATTGCATGTTTAGTCCATACCTAACACATTTTTAACAAGAGAAACAAAGTCTATCCCTAAAATTTGACATTTGGAGTTGGCTGTGTGGATTCTTTCTTTCTTTCAGTTTCAATTAACTTAGATCTTATTCATTCTAACGGGTACGCTCATTGGTCTGACCAATCTTCTATGCATATTTTTAGTTTATTCTCATCATTCCATACTTAAATTCACATTAAAATATATCAGAATTGTATAGAAAGCAAAATTATCGGGAAACAAAATCATCTGTTATTTTCTTGTGGAAAAAGGTAAGTAAATTTCTTCTTAGAAATAAGAAGACTATTCCAATTGTGATATTTGTGACGAAAAAATTGCAGTAAATGTTCAAAAGGAACATCCTGACTCCGCATTGAAGAATTTAAATTATACTCTTATCTCTAACTGATATTAGTTATTCTCATCTGCCCGTACCTATAAACTCTTATCTCTGTCAATTCGTCCTCCAATCTTTTCTTAAATATAAAAAAGTGAGTATATAATGGTTGATTATACATTTGAGAGTCTAGGATATTTAAATTGTAAAATTTTATCATCCTTATGTTCTTTGTGGTGGATTCAAGTTAGGAAACTCTCATCCACTTCCCATATGCTAGGACGTAGTAGATATTCCCAGTTCCGCTCTTTGGTGAAGTCCATGGATTTATTGCCACCCATGAGAAAGACCGTGTTCTAGCATATTCACTTCACAAATGCTTCATTCAGTTTTATTGTAGCTTGTGGTCCTTTATCTTGGCTGATCGTACTCTGAGACAACAGTAGTATGTATAGTCACAAGTCTCTTCCGAAGGATGAAATGATTTGGATTTTGTTTTTTGTGATGCAGGAAAAGTTAACAGGACATTTTTCTTGAACCAGAAGCAATTGATCGTCTGCGAAGTAAGCAGTCTGACAATCTCTCTTTGTGCCTCAATGACATCATACAAGTATGAACTCCTGAAAATTATGTCAACATTTTATGTGAATGAAACAATTATCTAGCTTCTTCCTAACCCAATTGCATAGTAGGCTATCATGCTGTTAAAACTCTTAGATGCATCATTATAGTCAAAAGAAATTATGGTTCAGAAAGCATTAACTCAGTATGTAAATATACTATATACAGACAATTAAAAGTGGAGAAGGGGTTTTCGATGTGTTTTTACATCATATATGTTACTGGAAATTGAAATTTTGTTGACTGGGAAGAACTGGATACTATGCTTAAATTTGAGTCTTTAATTTGATTTATTATTTGTAATGTAGGTTATTTGTTTATTTTGTACTCCTGTTATATGTGACTATGGGAGCTATACTTGAAATACTATTTTTTCGGGTAAATAGAAGAAAACCCCCTAACTGTGGACGAATATTGTGAAACCCCCCTAAACTTACAAAATATCAGAACCCCCCAGGAGGGGACTATGACAAGACCCCCATTTACCTTTGAGTTTATTAGTAGACCCCCTTTAACTTTGACATTTTATCATAACACCCCCCCCAAAAAAAATTACAGGGGTCTTCTGATAAAATCTCAAAGGTACATGGGGTTTTTTCTGATATTTTGAAAATCAAGGGGGTTTTTGTTGTAATTGTCCAATTTTTTTTTCTTTTTTTCTTTTTCTTTTTTTTTTTTTTTGTTTAGACTTTTTTCTATATTATATAAGGAATGAGTCTCGTGTACATCGCTATCTAAATTAATTAATTCCCATACTTCTTGTGATGTAGAGTAATTCTTATCTTCTACTGCGCAGTTCCCTTGAAAGTGATGTTTCTTTTTTTGGTTAGGGGTGTTTGTTTCAAATCCTATAATTTTAGGATATGAATTTCACCATGGGATTTGAAATCTATTAGTGTTTTGTTATGGGTTGGGATTCCTTAAACTTTGTTTGTTTCATCAAAATTATGGGATTTGGAATGCTATAATTTGTAAATTCTTGTTTGTTTCAAACTCAAATTGTAGCATTACAAATTTTAGAATTTGAAATCCATACTTGTAACAAACAAGTTTTAAGATTATCAAAATAATAAATGGTGAATATAAGAATTTTGGTGAGCTTACCCCCTACAAAAAAAATCAAATACAATTTTCCAAAGAACAGGAAGGGGGAAAATCAAAATCTAACTGCAACCTACTAATTTTCCCTATCTGTCCACAATCATTCATTAAGTAAAACGACCAACATTACTTACATAAACATATACATAAACGAGTCATATCATTACTTACTTTCATTTGCACAAGAAAAAAATATTACCTCTTGGGGTTTTTTTTATGGTAAGCTATGATGCACGGATACGGATACGGGACACGGATACGACACGGACACGGATACGGGATACGGCAAAATCCAAAAAAATAGGATACGGGGATACGGCGAGGATTTTTTTTAATTATTATTATATATAGAAAAATTTATAAAATTCAAATAACAATCTAAATTATGAATCTATCACAAAATAACAAGTTTGTAAACAAAAAGGAATTTGAGTACATACTCATTCCATCACAAAATAACAAGTTTGTAAACAAAAAGGAATTTGAGTTCATACTCATTCCATCAAATCACAACATAACAAGTTTCACAACATAACAATTTTGTAAACAAAAAATACATCAAGATTAAGTGGAAGCTAGTTTGATGATTTCTTCTTACAGATTTAATAAGTTGTTGCTCACTGACTTTGTTTTTCTTTTTACAGATTATACTTAGAGTTAAGCAACAATGAGCAAGGATGAAGGATCACTCAAAATTTTCCAACACAACTGCCAAAATATGCATATTCATTTGTGTAATAATTCATTTGTGTAATAATTCTTTTTACAGATTATACTTGAAGTTAAGCAACAATGAGCAAGGATGAAGGATCACTCAAATTAGACAACACAATTGCCAAAATAAATATCCATAATTCATTCATTAAATATGTATATTCATTTGTGTAATAATTCATTTGTCTAATAATTCATTGCCTAACAAAAAATTCATTTGTGTAATAATTTATTGACTAACAAAATTATACTAATTAATAAGTTCTCCTTTTAATAGATAATACTAACAATTAAAAAAATATTCATATGTTAGGAAATTGAGACTGAAATTGAAACTAAAATTGAAAAAATAAATTACCAAATAAAGAATAGGATTGTAGTAGAACTGTGACTTGCTCAGTTGCCAAAATAAGTATCACCAAGCTGCATAAAAAAAGTTAGTTTTTTCAAAAAAAAAAAAGATAAGAGAGACTGAGAGGGACGGAGAGATTGAGAGAGAGAATAAGGAAGAGGAGCGACTCGGGAGAGATCAACAGAAAAGAGAGAGACTTTTTCTTGAGGACTAAGAGAGACCAACAGAAAAGAGAGAGACTGAGAGAGAGTGACTCGGGAGAGATCAAGGAAGAGGAGACTGACCTGGTCGAGCGCCGGTGTCGAGGTCGAGGTCGAGCGTGGGGCGTCAAAGTCGAGGTCGAGCGCCGAGGTCGAGGTCGACGACGTCGAGCGTCGAAGTCGAGGGACGAGGTCGAGGTCGAGGTCGAGGTCGAGTTCGAGCGCCGATCTCGAGGTCGCGTGACGAGGTCGAAGTCGAGGTCAAGAGCCGAGAGGGGGTGTCCAGCGTCGAGATCCAGCAACCAGGACGAGGGAGCGCGGCGTCGGCGTCAGGTAAGTGAAACTTAGGGTTTTATTTTGGGCGATTGGGTTTGGGTTTCGGGTTTACGTGTTTCGGGACCCGTTTTTTTTCTTTTTCTTTCGTTCCGCTGGGTTCCGCCGTGTCTGAGCCGTGTCCAAAACCCAAGTTTGACCGTATCCGTTGCTGTTGACCCGTTGACCCGTGTCGGACACGAATTGACCGTGTCCGACACGTGTCTTGCACGTGTCGTGCACGAATCCGTGTCTGATTCGTGTCAGACACGGATTCGTGGTCTCCGGGGGAGTATCCGTGCTTCATAGATGGTAAGTAAGCAATTTAACATTTTACCAATCATCAGTAAAGTTCAAACAAATTATACACTCAACGTTTGGATCCTTACAAGCCAAAGATCAAACACACCAATACCAGAACAGACTCAGATTTGATTCCTACCAATACATGTAGGGATCAAAATACACCAACTATAGTAAATATATCACAAGTGACATACACAAACAATACTATAATAAAAAACCTACACTAGCATATGATAAACCTGTACAATCCTCTAACCATTCCAGACTCTATAGCTAACTCAACAATATAGAACTCAACAATATAGAATTCCTGATCAAGACTTAGTCACAAATTCTGGAGAAATCTAGACTGTGGGATAATATATTTCATATATTTGTTTTATTATAGAAACAAAACAGGGAGGGAAAAAACTTTCAAATTTTTGTTCTTTATTCTCTTTGTTTTGATGGTCCTTCAATTTTGTTCTGAGGCCCGTGTCTAGATCGCAAGTGTTCAAAATAGCACCGTGCATTTGTTTTGCTTGAGGAAGAGAATCATCAAATTGGAGTAATGCAAACAAGGAGTCATTTCATGGGGAAAGAGATTCTGCTAAAGGCTTGTATGATAGGGGTAGAATGTTTTTGCACACAAACACAAGCTACTGATGCCTAGCTTCGGTGGTTTACTGTAAAAAAATCAACTTTAAATGTATTTTATGTATAAATTGAAAATAAAAGGTGGTTTTCATATAATTACCCTATTTTAAAGTGGTTTTTAGGATAAAACCCTTAAAAATAGCAATTGGGAGTCTAATCCCCCCTAGGGGTGTTTCTCCCCTAGTTTCGTCTTGTTCCTCTTTTGGCCTCTTGTGTATGGTCCCCCCCTCCTTTATTTTGAATTTCAAGAGAGAACCTTCCCCCCTCAAAACCGAATTTCCCCCCCAAAACCGGTTTTCTTCTTCTTCCTCCTCAAGAGTTCTTTCCTCCATTAAAGAACCCATCAATCCCTCAAGAGATTTGAATTTTTGGCGGGTACCCATTTGCTGAAATCTTTTCCTCTTTCAAACGAGGGTCTTGGCCTCCATTTCCGAGCTCGAAGGAAAACTCCTTTGATTTGGTAAGTTTCTCTTCACAAACCCCTTATTTTCTTGCAAAGATCATGTCTTTATGCTTGTGATAGATAAGGGTTTATGGATGAAATAAGCACTTGGGGGGTTTTATTGCAAAAACCGAAACTATAGGGGCTTATTTGCAAAACTCGTGGGTTTGAAATTTTTTGGGGGCTTTTATGCAAACATGAACTGAAATTTGGGAGGCTTGGGTTCATGTTTGTTTCCTCAAGAAATGGGGGTGTTTTGTGCAAGAGGATTAAAGGGTTATTTGAGGGGTTTATTTGCAAAACAGCCCCTAAATGTTTTTAGAGGGGTTTATTTGCAAAATGGCCACGAATTTGGGGCTGAAGTACACAAAGCTTAAACCCTAGACCCCTGATCGAATTTTTGGTAAAAGCATGTGGATGCAAAACCCAAAAGTTCGTGGAGGGACTTTTATGTAAAATTGACCAAATTCTGCAAAAGGGCTCATTTGCAAAATTTGATCAAAATTATAGGGTACCGGGATGTTAGATGATCAAGTATGATGACCATGACCCGGGTCATACGTGTCCTTGACCTGAATTTGGCCTTGAGCACGAGGGGTATTTCGGGTATTTCACCAAAATTTACTGCGAGACGACGATTATCGTTTCGCGTGCACGAAATTCGTAGGTTTAATTAGACTTTAACTACAAAATCCTATTTGTTATTAGGATTTCGAGTCCAAGTGCTTAATTTCCCTTTTTCCGATATTTCGTGTATATATATCGTACCTGATGTACTGCTCTTCATTGCAGATTCCCGATGTCTCCCCGTCGGTCTCGACCTTCCGGGAGTCACCCTTGCTCGCAGCATGGCATGGAGGAGGCTCCTACGACATCGTCTCCAGTGACCTCCTGCTTTGGGGGTAAGAATCTTATATATTTTTTATCCCGGATTGACCTCTCGCGGGTCATGACGGAAGAACCGATACCCCTCCCGCGGGGGTTAAGGTTTCGGACTTGTTTTGCTTAGCCAATTCAAGTCCTCGGGTATATTGGGGCGATCTCGTGTTGCCTTACACCTTATAGGTCGGTATATGTTATCACGTGATTTACGTGGTTATATACCGTCCTCCCGGTGTAGGGCACTCGAAATCGTCTTCGCCAATTATCCCGTGAACAATCTCATTTTGTCTTTATGAGATAGATATTCTGACCCCTTCGCTTTATTGCAGTCGATTTTCCCGGTGGTAGCTTTCCTGTTCATGCGAACACCGGTTGTAGCCGTGAGGTCTTTTCGTCGACTTCTGCTAGGCGGGTGGTTGATCCGTTCCCGCAGTTTGACAGGGATCGTTCAGACGAGTCCTGTCGCCTGATACGAGATGGGGGGCGTCACTGTTTACGCCAGCTCATTACTGACGCTCCTTTTACCGCGGATGCTACGTCCACCCAGGCTTTGAAGAAGCCGGACTTCTTGTTCGGTGATCATGTGGAGGATCCCGACACATTGACTTTCTCAGAGGAGCATTGGCTAAATCTTGAAGAGAGTGCCCTTCTATATATTCCTTCCGTTCCTCGTCATTGTTCCTTTACTCATCTGGAGGGACAAGGTGTGGAAAGACGGATGTCTTGGGAACTCACTGATGACGCTGTGCGGGTTCAGTGTGGGTATGTTTCTCATGGGAAGACCCCTGGTTCAGGCGGATATCATCCTGTTCGTGGTCTACGACCCGGGATCATGGGCCTTGACGCCGCACCCCCAGACGAGATGTTTACAGTTGCTTCTACAGTGAGGAACAGGTTGGCTCTCCTCGGGAGAAGGCTTCCTCACCCGGAGTTCCGATGCTATGGTTGGGCTTCTTCTTTACCCAAGGGGTGGTGGCCCCGTATGACCGACTATGTCTTGGGCCATTGGGAGAAGATTCTGAAGAGCAGTGGCCTGTATGTGCCTATACGGGCTACTATGTATGGACTCCCCGTCAGCTGCCGCCATTTCTTGGCATTGTTGGAGACGTACATGCCTGATAGCAACACCTTTCTGACCGGTGACGGAGAGTTGGGGTTAGCTCTCCATGAGATGCATCAGGTTTCCGGTCTTCTGATGGGAGATTACCCCTATCAGGAGTACTTTCCTTCGAACCAGCAGTTGTGGCGGTTGAAGCATGATGATCCCGATATGTATGCTACCCTCTGGGACCTCACCTGTCACTATCATACTGCCTTGATCCAGATTTCTCCTCCCGCGAAGACCAAGAGGAAGATTAGCTTGAAGCAGTTCGCCACTTATCTGTTCCAGAACTTGGAGGGTAGTTCCAGTGATCCTGTTCGTGAGCGAGATATTTTGACTGTCACTGCCGTTAACGAGTTGGTGGAGAAGAGCGGGGCCCAATCCTATACCATTGCCAGCGCTGAGGGAGCTTTCCCCGCGGGAACCAAGTTTCGTTCGTTCCTTTGCCGAGCGCAGAAGTCCATCGAGCCTCGGTCTCTGTTGGCAGGCTATCTTGCACTCTGGTTGAAGAAGTGCGTTGTTCCTTACCAGTCTTCGGATGCCTTACCTCTTGAGGTGCTTTTTCCCGCGGTTCAGTTGGCTTATGGGAAAGAGCTTTCTTTGCTCCCGGCGATGGTTGCCAGCATTCTTTGCGGGCTTAGGAGTGTGGTCCGTAGCTTTACTCAGGTGGGTCTTGAGCCATCTACTGGGCTTATCTGTCCTAAGGTTGAGCTTCCCTATGCATATCTGATGGCATGGCTCGTTCTTCATCGCCCTGACCTGATGTCAGCGCCTAGTGCTGTTGATGTTCCCGTCCCATATCTGCAGCTGTTGGAGAAGAGCAGATGGCTCGGGAAGAAATTTGAAGACGTTCAGCAG